GGGGGGGGGGGGGGCCCAGGCCTGTTTGACAACTTCCAGCTCGCACTGTGGAAAGCAGCAAGCGGGGCACTGGCTTGCTGCTGGATTCTGGATTCCTGGTCAAAACATTTCCCCGAGTCAACCCTGGCTGAGAAGTGGGAATTGGAGGCTGATAAAGGGAAACCGCCATCATTAGGAATCCCATAAAGTCTCATTTACAACTCCAGTCAGATGAAAGGAGCAATTGACTGCGTTGGAGGGAAAAGCAAATACCGAGCTCCTCGAGGACGGTGGCCTCAGACAGCTGATCCTGGGGAGGGCACGGAGGTCCTGGGGAGGGCACGGAGGTCCTGGGGTGGGCGGAGCCTGTCCCATCTGGGCGCTCCCCTACTCTGTGCACTTCCTCTCCCCTCTGTCTGGGCTGGCCTCGGGGGTCCTTGAGCTCTGGTTCTTGGAGAAGGGGACAAAAGGACAATAAAAGGTCTCTCCCTCCCCCAGAGCCCCTCTCCCCCACGCCACTGCAGAAGCCTCCCTCTTTTGCTCAGTCGTGAGCCTTCGGGGCATCCAGCACCGTGCCTTCTATTGGCTGGGGCAGAAATGCGGAACAGGCTGCCAGTCCCCTTACACCTGGCCTGCCACAGCCACGGGGGCCAGACCCTTAGGCTTGAGATCCAATTACTCGGAAAGGTGACAAAGACAGTTTTCTTCAGAGGCCTGGGCTCTGTGGGGAGGTGGCCTGATGGTAAAAGGACAGCAGTGTGATCATCCTTCTTTGCTTCTGCCGCTGCTGCTTCACTCTGGTTTCATCATCACTGGTGCCTCAGTTTCTGCGTCTGCAAAATGGGGATATTAAGACCACCCTTACACTGCTGTGGTGAGGGCCAGATGAGATGAGGTGTGTAAAGCCCCCTGCACAGTGCCTGGTGCGCTGCTGGGCTCCATGGTGTCAGTCTCCCGGGGAGGGCCTCCGCGGCCAGGACTGGAGGGGTGGTGTGGCAAGAGGCGCTCCCCCAGCCTCCTGGGTGTGCCGGCTCTGGCTGGGAGGGAGGGAGGGGCAGGGAGGGGACATCTGTTTGACACTCTTGTCAGCATCCGTTACCTGGTGTGTATTTTCCCAGGAGCTGATTACATTACAGCATGTGTTGATAAACATTGGGAGTCGGAGCGGAGTGGAAACTGAGCGGAATGTTAAGCGGGTGGAGGTTTGGTCAGGAGATGCCGAGAAAGGGCTGGCTGTGAAGAATGGGAGGTGGTGATGGGGGGGGGGGGGCAGCAATCTGGTGACTTTTTAGCCTGCCCTGCCCCTTTCTCGTTCTCTCGCTCCCCTTCTCTGTTCCCTGCCTCGGCTTCCAGCAGGGCATCCAGACAGGGTCCCAGAGGCAGTGCCTTATAGAAGAGGTGTGGGATTTGGACCCAGGCAGTTGTGGGTTCGAAGCCCAGCTCTGCCACAGGCTGGCTCTTGGCACCCCGGGCTCGTCCCTTAACTTCCCCAAGCTCAATCTTTTCCTCTGTAAAGTGGGCTTAACCTACACTCCACAGAGTGAAGATTGAGAAGTGAGGACAAGAGACACCCCAGCCCTGAGTTTGCTTCGGATGTTAGGCAACTTTTTCTTAAGTCTACTTTGGACCAAGGGGAAGGGGGCCCGTGTCTTCCATAGGACAACTTCCCCACCTCTGACCCTGGTTAGGACTGGTCAGATGACCCGGGGTGACTGGAACATTCCACCCTAAATCTTTATATACCTGTGTACTTAACAACAGCTGCAGTTAGTTAATTATTTGTTTAGTTATCTCCCTGATGTCTTTCTCCCTCACTGGTCCACAAACTCTCTGAGGGCAGGGATTGTCACCTGGTCACAAGTGAATGCTCAGAGCCTCAGTGGGTGCCTGGCACCAGAAGGAATGGGCGACTCTCATCCGTCCCATTGGTTCGTAGCAGAATGTCAAGGTAACCCCTCTCAGAGGTCTGTGGTGCCTTATTCTGTGGTTGTTTCTAGACGGAAAGCACTGGCTGTACTTCTCACTTGGCCTTTGTAATAACTTTTCCCGTGGGTATCTCTTGTCGCTGAGGCTGTGTGAGCTTCCCCAGGACTGGGGTGTTTAGACTTTTAAGATTCAAGAGGACAGGCAACTGAGTGCGGCAGAAATCCCACAGACACGTCTCAATGGAGGATGCTGCTCCTATCCCCCTCCCCCACCCCTGCGGGTCCCTGCCTCGACACCTGCCACTCCAGCCCACTTCCAGGTGCCCCAAGCCGCCTGGCGCCTCGGAGGCTGCTGGGGCTGCCGCCGACACGGGTCGGAGGAGCACGACTGCCCAGCGCCACCTAGCGGGCGTGGGGCCGGGGGAGAGCGCGTCCGGGTCTTCCCAGGCCTGCGGGAGAGC